AGCTGAGTAAGGGAAAAAGAGATGAAGAGAAAAAAATGCTGTACATGGAGAAAAGTTTATAAGTAACAGCGGTTTGAGAGTTACTTAATAACATAATAACATAAATTGGCTGTAGCTGATTTAAGTGCTATACTCTCCTTAAAACAAACACTTATAAGTAAATATAATTTCAAAATGTCTTAAATTGGGGGGGCCTCTCCCTCAAATTACATGATAAGTTAATACCTATTTTGACTTTTCCCCAAATCACATTAACAATTTGTTTCTGTATACTGTTTGCTTTAGAAAAATATAAATACATTTGCTAGAAACATAGAAAATGGCTAAGAGCTCCAAGAATAATTGTTGAGGAAATAGAATTTAAAAAAAAATCTTCTGCTACTTTAGAAAACTTCTCCACAAAAGTAGAAGAGAATGAAAACAGTTTTATTACTGTATAAGTTTTAAACCTTGATGTTATATGCATATAACAGGTGATCTGCTAAGAGATTGCAAAGACAGAAGAAGATCCTACCTTTTTATATGGCCAGGCAGATATAACCCATTACATACATATTTTCAAGATAAACAATAACTAGTCTTCAAGTAAGAAGACTTGACAGTGCCATTTGTCAACATATTTCATCTTAAATTTGTTTAGGAGTTGGAGTAGCCACCTATGTTTGCTAAAAATGGTCACCAATCCCTTGAAGAAACATTTCTGGGTTTCTTATATAGCGTTTTGAAAGATTACCAACATTTCAAAGAGATAGTGAAAGAACTCACAAGTTTTCTAAAGTAAATAATCTAAAAAAAGGAGGAGAGTCTTCCCTTATTTTCAAAAGGGAAAATTAAATCTCATATTTTTGTTTGCTTTTATTTTTGCATAGTCTTCGAATTTTGCTCACAAATCATGCATTTCATTTTCTTGACTAATCAGTGAACAAAATGCATGTCTTCCACAACTTCACAGAAATAGTGTAGTTATTAAAGCATTATTACTTCTATAGTATTTTAATTTTATTATAAAGATTTAAAAAATATAAATGGTATGACAGAAAGCATAATGTATCTCATGTAATACAGCACATATTACCTTAACAAGAAGTCTTTGTTAATGAATGCATTTGTTACATAAATATTAATTGAGTATCCCCTGTGGTTCAAGCACTGTTCTAGACACCTGGGATACCTCAGTTAATAAAAGAGGCAAAAGAAACTTGAATTTTTGAAGCTTAAAATCTAGAAGAAAGAGACAGTCAATAAATAATAAACATTATAGTAGTAACATAGTGTCTTACAAGGTGATTAAATCTATGGAATAAATTAGAGTAATATAATGATCATTGGGAGTGTTGGAATGAGGTTGCAATTTCAAATTGCCGGAGTATTCCACATTGGGATGACATTTAGGCTAAGACATGTAGAGGTGAATGCTACAATTAATTTATGAGTAAATGTTTTTTTTTTCCCCTTTGCTTTGCAGAAACAGAGAAAAGAGAATCAGGTATATTATCTTAATGTTATCAGCTATTACTAAGCCAAGGACAGTGTGGATTCAACACAGCAGAGTATTTTCATGGGGGAAGCTTGGGCAGTCAAACTTGGGGCTTCGTAATGGAGAAGGAAGCAGACGGGGAGGTTTCTGCCCTGTCCATGTGAAGAAGGGTTTCTAGCATGC